AACAGAAATACAACTTATTCAATGGAAACCAAGAGGACTCAGTGGAAATAAGGAGGACTCAGCAGAACCATGGAGGACTCAACAGAAACCAAGAGGACTTAACAGAAACACGGAGGACCCAACCAAAACACAAAAGACTCAATGGAAACAAGGAGAACTCAAGAGAAAAAGGATGGACTCAACAGAAACCCAAAGGACTTGACAGAAACAAAAATGACTCAATGGAAACATTGGCAACTCAACAGTAGACGCAACACAACCATGGAGGACTCAACAGAAACACCATTACTACACAAGAACAGAAAAATGTATTCTCTTCTTGGTTGTGGATCTCTTGGATTGTTCTTGACACATCATCCGGAAATAACTTTTTTTCTTGCGTGATGTCTCAGAACCATTACATACAAACCATACAACAGGATCTTTATTAAGAGGCCTTAAAAGTTAAGCTCTTGTCAAGTACGAGATGTTTTTTAAAGAAAAAAAATGTATATTGTTCTTACCACTTCTGGTAAACAAATCAATTTGTCTAGCCTTGCAGGGCTATGTAATAACCTTGAGATGTTTAGTGAGAAGAATCAGCAGAGACATCAACCAGATGAGTCACGAACTTCACCCATGCATGGACCGTGCATGCCAACAGCGGCCATGTAACCCTCAATCAGAAGGCATCGTACACAGAGCCTATAAACAAATTAGATCAGGAGCCGAGGAAGAAGAAAATTACAACTGCATCTAAAAAAAAAGGGATATTGTAAAAAGGTTCAATATATTTAAAACTCATTTTTGAAAGTAAAATTCATTATATAGATTTGTTACACATAGTGAAATATTTCAAGCCTTTATTTCTTGTGATTTTAATAAGACACACAATTTCTAAAATAGTTTTAGTAAGACTCGGGAGAAATATCAAGAGACATTTTGTGAGCCATTAGAAAAAAGGTTACAGTATGTTAAAATCAGAGCCAGCTAAAAGCATCATTTATCAGGAATATGGCTACTTTTTAAAATTCTCATCGACAGTTTCTGAATAGCAGATATGAAAGAGTCATACATTTTTTCAGTTGCTCTCATTAAGAGCAACTAAGTAAACTTGAGCCTGTTATTCCTGATGAAAAAAAAAAAAATAAATCAATCAATGTGCCACTAGAGTGAAATACACATGATCTAGACTAAATTAATAAGTCACACAAAAAAACCCTTTCTCAACTATTTACTTACAGCAATCAGATTTTGATCCAAAGTGATAATTGATCGAATAACGTGTATAATAGCGGCCGAAGCGAGACATATTCACTTGTTTAAAAATTGTGTTAAATGTGTAAGGTGGCACATTACAACAGGAAAGTGGTGTTGCTGTGGTGGTAACTGGCTGAAGGGTTTAACAGGAAGTGGGCAACCAATGCCATTTGGTGTAAATGAACATTTTTATACACTAAAACTGCTTCACATAAAATACCTCAAATTACAAGACAAAGATATAGCAAAAGACACGGTTTACATTTTTTTAGATACAACTTTTATAGTAGTTCTCAATGACCAGAGTGGTTCTGGTAAACAATGGGGATGGGTAGCTGAGAAATTTTTAACGTGGGGAGAAAGTGTTTTTATTAATTATTATTATTTCTTTTCTACTATGGATATAATTTTGCTAAGTACTTTTTAGATTAATATTGTTTTTTTTCTTTCTATTACAAAAATTAAATATTTCAAATTTAATTTGGGCCAGAAAATAATTTCAAATATACTTTTGAATTTGAAACTTTCATATTTTTTATGGTTTAAAGCTATTAACTTATTTTTGACAAAAATACGTATTTCTTTATTGTTATTATTATTATTATTTACAATGTCAAGGCTGAACATAAAAAGCTGCATTAGATCACCTACCTGTGGTTAGCTAAAGTACATTGAAACAAATATTAAGTATTTTCAACATTAACCTAAACCTGGAACTCGATTGTGTTACTGTGTTTACTGCTACATGGATTTATGGCCTGGAGTTGTTTTTATTATTATTATTAGTGCACAGGCCTCTGATGTATGCCTGCCGTCTGACATTAACAGTATATGAATTTGGCCCCTGTGTTCCAGGAATGGCTGTGGTGTTTCATTAAAGCGCAATTGTTAAAGGGTTTAAAGCAATCAATCAATAAATAAAAGACACACGTGAAAGTGTGAACTACCACACACAACCGTGGCTCTCAGAAACTTGTGTTCCAACTGGAGCCGACCCCCCAAACCCCAAACCTGCTGTTTGTTGGTCGGGGGGCCACATTCCCCTTTGTACTGTACATTATGTGACCCATGGGGAGACTGATTTAGCTCGTTGCGCTATTTCAACAGCCATTATCATTGCACAGCTTAGACCAGACAACAGTAGAGCGCGACAATGACTGCCAAAGGTCTTGCCGAGTTATTGGCACATTTGTGCGTAACAACGCGCGCGCGCGTCCGCTATCAAATTTGGTGAAAAAAAAAAGGTCAGTAAAAGGAACCTGTTGTATCTAACAGAAAAGTAGTTATAGGTGTTAAAATGGCTCAGTGAGGAAATGAGTCGAAATGATGCGTTTCGAAATGGAAAAATTAGTCGGAATTATTCCAACCCAGATCGAGTCCAACATTTTCCACTCCAAACACTTTCCTCACCCAGGGTCAAATTCAGCATGAGCTCCTGCTCCGCCACGCTTCCCCCCCGGAGCAGAGTGTACACGGCGCCGACGAGCCACGGGACGACGTGCCCGGAGAACTCCACCAGCCGCACCAGCGGCCGGATGCCGCCCCACGGCGACTCCTCGCACGCGCACACCCCGAGCTTCTTGGACAGCCACAGGTCCACCGCCAGCAGGAACCGCAGCGTTATGGCGAACATGGGCTGGCTCAGACTGACGGAGAAGTCCTCGGCCTGCGCGCCGGGGGAGAAGTAAGGGCAGCTGGAGGAGGCCCGGCGGCGCCCGGGTGGGACCGAGTCCGACGATGCTCTGCTTCCAGCCGCGGCTCCTCGGCAGCTGTTCCGTCTGCTCCCCGGGGAGGACATCGCTTCCTCTGACAGAGTGTGGGGCAGTGATCCGCGCGGCTCTCTGAGTCCCGCTGCGCTCAGACGCAAACCATCCTGCAAACGGGTCCGGTTCAAACACGGGTTAATCTGGCACCAGTTTAGAACCGGGCCCCCCCTCCCCCCCCTTCGATCACGTGGGCTCGCAACACTCTTAATAGATGTTACTCTCAAACAATTTGTCTTTATTTCCTTGAGATTTCTCGAACTCTGCAAAAATATTTGGAGTCAAGGGTATTCTGAGAAAACAGTGGTTCAGATTTTCATGAAAGAAACAAGCTTAAATTATCTGCCACACATAAAACTATCTAGAGAAAAAATATTTTATTTTGCCAGATCAAACATGAGCTGCGTTTCCATTACAAATGTGTGCAAAACATTGTCAATTTTCCGCTAATGTTAAAAAAATAATTCCGCAATCGCGGTGTTTCCATTAAATAAGAAAAGCATTTAAAAGCACAAGTTTGTTCACACTGTAAGTCATTAAAAAATATGCTGCGCAAGGAGCCTCCAAAGTCGCAGCATCATGAAACAGTCAGTCAAAAAGAGCAAGTCCCACCAGACAAATTCAAGAGGTCCCCCACCACCCAAACAGTGGGGGAGAGTTGAAGAAGTTGGTCAGACAGTGTATAGTTGAAGAAATGCTGCCCTGAAGAATGGCGATCAGGTTTATGTTGAAGGAGGCGGGGCTGCTGAAAGTAACTATTAGAGAAGCCTAACTTCCTTACTTGTATAATCAAGTAATCAGTAAAGTAACTGCTTTTTCAGGGTGTAGTCAGAAATCAAGTTACTTTTTCAAGGTAACTATGCCATCACGCAGTCTGGTTAGCTGACATTATCTTTTGGACCTAAAGAGGAACGATCCAGCTTCAGTTATTACAGCTCAAAAACTAGTGATCAGGTCTGAAATCTGGGTGATGAACTCAGACCTGATCCTCCAGAGACACTTAAAGACAGGAAGACAGAGCACATCACACCAGTTCTAAAGTCCTTCCACTTGCTCCTTGTAGCTCAGAGAATATAGACTTTGTTAGTTTATAAATCACTGACTGGTTTAGCATCTCAATACATTAATAATCTGCTGTTGTGGTATCACCCTCCCAGACCACTCGGGTCTCCTGGTTCTGGTCTGCTCTGGATCCCCAGAATCAAATATGGAGAAGCAGCGTTCAGCTTCTGTGCACCACAAATCTGGAACAAACTTCCAGAAAACTAAAAAAAAAACAACAGCCATAACACTAAGCTCCTGTATATCTAGACTATAAACTCACCTGTTTACAGTTGTATTTGATAAGTAGCAAATGGAACTTTTTTTTTTTTAGGTTTTATTGGCTCTAGTGGCCTTTATTTGATAGTGAATTGATAGAAAAATGGGTAATGAGAGAAAGGAGAAGACATGCGGCAAAAGTCAGCAGGCCGGGGATCAAACCTGCGGCCGTGTCAAGGACTAAGGCCTTGTAGCTCAACCCGTAGATACAACCCGTATCTGGGTTGTGCTCAATCCCTGCGCCACCACAGCACCCCAGTAAACGGAACATTGATCAAAATATTTGTTGTATATGTTGCTTGATAATTTTGATGATGGCATTTGACACAATGTAATGTTTGTTGCTTGTTTCATAATTAGCTATTGTAATGGGTTTTTATGGTGCAAAGCACTTTGAACTGGAAAGTTATACTGGAACTGGAATTTTGTTGTCTTTCTGACAATGACAAAATTCTTCTTCTGATCTTTGTTGAACTGCCTTGTTGCTGAAATGTGCTGTACAACTTGACTTGGCCAGATTGTAGTAGGTAGTTCAAAATGGTGTCCTATAAAGACTAACAATACCTTTGCTCAGTTTGCTTATCTTGCTCATTATTATTATCTCACATGTCAGCATACAGCCCTAGTTAGACTCAACATTTCTCATAGTGATAGAAAGACTAAGTGTGTTTTGAACAGCTTGTGGTTTCTGGTGACTTGAACACACCATTGTGGTCACATCATCCTACTGCCCCCACCCCCTCGCTGTTTGCACCGTATTTAAGAGAAAACTTTCCGCTTTCTCTCTGTTTAAAGCCGTCTCTCGCAGGCCAACCCACGACCACATCCAACATGCCGGGGCTGCTGCTCGGAGACAAGCTTCCTAATTTTGAGGTGGAGACCACTGCTGGGACAGTGAAACTCCATGAATATTTTGGTGATTCGTAAGTAAAACTCTGCTGATTATTGACTGCGCGAAAGCTTTGCAGTAGTTTGATGATAATTCAGTCAGCATAACAAGTAAGGGTGGGGGAGTTTTACCAAGTGTGATTCCTGTTAACAGCTTTCTGATTTCTGCTTTGAGTGCGTCTGAGGTATACTTGTTCAACAGTGGAGTGAGATAAATCTATACATACAACTGAATTCTGTACATCAGATTAACAGCAACAATAAGCTGAAATATGTCAGGTTTGTATGAGTCATATCAAAGATGCTTCACACTATCACATTGCTGACCTATGGGGAAAGAAAAAAAATCCTGTCATCAGATTAAAAATTCATCTGCAAACCAGGTCACATCCTGTTATTTTTCTGTCAGCAACATAAGTCATCAACAAAAACACTTTCATTTAGCACACACTCTCATTTAATTATGTAGCAAAACAGAAAGTAGAACGTTTTTGCGAAGAATTAAGTCAATCAGTGCTTCAAAGTTTAAAAGAACTTCCACGTTCACCAACTAAGTAATTCGGTTTTATGTAACCCTATCAGTCTCTTCTGTCATGTTTGGGATTTGCCCTCATTTGCTTTGATCGTAGCTTTATAAATTTATGAGGCAATATCAATTAGCGGCTATCCTAGACCTAAATTTGGGCCAAGCAAAATCTGTTGGACATATGGCCTCATTTTCGATTCTAGAAAACTTTGGGTATACCGAGGGCTTCATATAAATTCAATGAGTGCAAAGTTTCCAGATGCTTTGGCAGCCTAAACTGAAGTCATCCCCTTTCCTCCTCTGTGATTGACGGTTGATTTGAGATGTACATCATAGCTGAAAGTTTCTATTTTGGTGTAATTTTGTCATAGTAGAAACATTCTTACGGCTTCCATGTTCCATAAAAAAGATTTTGTGATGTCAGCCCCTCCAAAATCGATACATTTATTTAGTCTTTCCCTATTCTCTTGTGAACTTTAACGATTCAACATGCTAACTAAGGCTTGTACAGTTTGTATTGGAGATAATGGTAGCCTAGGAACCAGTTCCTCATTCTACGTTTGGCTCTGTACAGAGGGTTTGAACTTTGGCTATTGAGAAACGATTGGTGGGGGCTCCGCTTAAGTTACAAACAATTGGGTCTGATTTTATACCCAATGGCTAACATTTGGCATGACATACCTAATGCATCAGCTCAATAAAGCTTACCAGAAACTGTAAAAATCCAAGTGGGGAGTAGGAACAAGAAAGCTTTGACAGCAGTAAAATGTCTTACACATTCCTCTCACTATTTGGAAACATGGCCGATGCAAACTGAATGTCTCTTCACCTCTTTGCCAAACCATAGGCAGACAACAAAAACATCACAGAAACAAAAAGAGTGGAGTCTGCTAAAGAAAACTCTTGGTGCAGACAATAACAAATAATTATAGGGTGTGTTTCAGAAATAATAGCAATCATTTATCTCAACGTGTAAAATTAGCTCATCAGTGAGACGCAAGAACATGTCAAGCGTATGAAACCTCGACCTCATTGATCATGTTCCTGACCTCAACAAAAGTAGCTCCTTGATCATATACAGTGCAGCAAAAATCAGGTCACATCCTGTCGTTCAAATGTCAGATTGTTATCATTCCTACTTCAACCTATTTCAGAACTCATCTTAAACCCCCTACCCTACTGGTCTCTAAAATGTCCATCTTCTCTATAGGTGGGGTATCTTGTTCTCGCATCCCAGAGACTACACCCCTGTGTGCACCACGGAGCTGGGTCGAGTCGCCAGGCTGAGCGGCGAGTTCAGCAAGCGCGACGTCAAGCTGATCGCTCTGTCCGTCGACAGCCTGGAGGATCACCGCAACTGGAGCAAGGTGATACGCAGCGCCTCGTGAAAGATCTCAAAACTGCCTACGTCTTGTCGTGTCACAATCACAAACAACAACGGTACTTGCCATGACGAGATCACAAAGTGCGACGACGCATACAGATAGCTTACCAAAGGATTGTAATTGGAAATAATAATGGATAAGTAGCTTCAGACAGGGTCACTCAAAAAAAAATCTAAAGTTACCAGTGGATAGAAAACAATGCCAGGATTGCTTATTTGTTCAGAGCAATTCACGTCTGCAGGAATATTTTTCAGTTTCTTGGAGTTAGTTGCAGAGCTTTTGTTTTCAGAATACTATTACATGCCACCGGCATGCAGATTTAGTTTTGTGCCTGACCAGAGGCTGCAATGTTTATGGTGCTGAGTGCAATATGGCAGTGATGAGGCGGTGAGCAGTGGTGCGCCCACGCTGACCAACTGCATCTGTAAATAATTTTATTTTAAGTTGGGCTGGAAGAAAACAAAGCTAAGAATCCACACGTGGTTTTGTCGTAGACAGTCACATTTATAAAACAGCACGACTCTTCTCATTAGGATGAACAAAGACAACAATAAGTGTGTTAAGAGACTCATACTTTTATTTCAAGTTGCATATATTAATATGTTGTGTTACTGCAGGGGCAACTTCAAGACAGGTGGTCTGTAAGTTTGTTAAATGGGTTAAATGGTTCTCAGCCTGAAAAAGTTTGAGAAGCACTGGTTCAGAGCAAGACATGTTCATTTGTTAGTAGGTCCTAGTTAAAGTCCAGACCAAAGTCTATCTCAGAATGACTCACTTTAAGGAGCTTTGCAAAGAGGAAAGAGCATAGAATTCTGTGGTCATGCAAACCACTACTTTGTACTGATCTACTACTCTTAAAGCTTTGAGTTGTAACATAACAAAATGTTATTTTAAATAAATGCTTATTATAAAGTCTCAATTTTTAATCAATTAAATTCCATGCTTGACTTATATTGGAGACTAAAATAATTGGCCTTGAGGCATTACTGATGTAACATTTCAAAGACATCTCAAAAATGTTCAATGCAACTATGCCCTTCTTCTTCTTTTTAAAGAATGTGGTTTGGAAATAACTAAATCTGCATACGTTACCCTTTTTTTCATAAAACCATCTTGAAAATGTGTCCTTTCAATATTTGGTTTTGCTTCACTACCATGTTAGTGTAGCGCTTTAGCATTAGCTTCCGCTTGGTGTAGTATATTAGTGTTAATGGAACTAATGTTTATGAGTAGGGCTGTAGGGTTAGTGCCACTAATTTTTTAGCTAGCAGTGCCCACCACTGGTTTTGGTTATAAATGGATGTGTAAGCTCTGTAGTCTTGGCAGCTGCTTTGGTTTAAATAACTCATCAAGGCCCTGCGTGTCTCCTCTCTGACTAGGACATCCTGGCTTACAACTGTGAGGAGACTGAGGGCTGTGAGTTGCCCTATCCCATCATCGCAGACAACAAGCGGGAGCTGGCAGTCGCTCTGGGCATGCTGGACCCCGTCGAGAAGGACAAAAACGGCATCCCGGTCACGGCTCGCTGCGTGAGCTTCACAACCACGTTGTTTTCAACCACGTCAGGGTTTTCGAAGTGAAGTTGCACTTCACTTCGAAAACCCTGAATCTGTGACCTGAGTTGAGGATTTGAGATCCGCTTTAACCTTCCACTCTGATTTCCCCTCTTTTGTCCAGGTTTTTATTATTGGGCCTGACAAAACGCTGAAACTGTCCCTGCTTTACCCCAACACCACTGGACGCAGCTTCGATGAGATCCTGCGTGTGGTCGACAGCCTCCAGCTCACAGCTCACAAACAAGTGGCCACGCCCACCGAGTGGATGGTTTGTGGTACCTTTTGAAAAAAATCCTCAACAGGAACCCAGCGCACAGCAATAAGAATGGACCTTATGAATTTTAGTGGGATTTTATGTGATAACCCAACACAAAGTGCAGCATTAATGAGAAAAAGAGAGAAATAAAATGTTTAAATCTGAAAACCTGACCTGCGTTTGTGCTCAATACAGTCTGCTTTTTTGTGGAAGGTGCTTAAAACAGCATTTAATGAGATTACAACAGCAGATTTTTGGAGTCTGCTGTAGCTTTAAGCTTCTAGAGATCACTCCCCACAGCATGTTTCATCAGGGTAATACAGACAAACATGTTCAATTTGGGCATAATCTGACATGTCTGTTTTCATATGGTGGTTTGTTGGCTACCACCTTGTCGCCAACATGTATGTAGATTTGCATGTAGATTTTTATTCGCAGATATCTGAATTAAAGTAAACACCTAAGCATGCCACACTTTTTTAGTTTTTTACCATTTCCTCCCACTTGAGCTACATGCGCTAATCTGTGTTGCTCCATCACATAAAATCTCTGAAAATAACTTAAAGGTTGTAGTAGAAAAAAAAAAGTAGAAAAACCTTGATTCCACATGTTGCATTTCTTCTGTCCAGCCGGGAGGCTGCGTGATGGTGCCTCCGAACATGCCTGAGGAGGAGGCCGCCGCCTTGTTCCCGATCGGCGTCTTCAGCAAGGAGCTGCCTTCTGGGAGGAAGTACCTGCGCTACACTCCAGATCCACAGGATAGGAAAGGCTGTGAACCGCCACCGGCTGAACCCGAATTACCCACAACTCTGTAACAACGGGCTTTTCGAGCAGATCAATGCGATGAATACAATATATCTTATTGTAAGAAGCAGTTACTCTTATACAACTTGTTTGTAATGAGTTAACAAAAGCAAATAAAGAAAATAAATTTTGCTTTCACCTTACACATTGTTGTGTGTGTATATGTTCAAAGGCCAGTGGCACTGCATCCAGTCTGAACTAATAATAAAATAACGAATAATAATAAAAATCAGCCCATTCTGTTCTACCTTGGTCCTCCTCAGAAACAACATCCATGTGTCTTACAACTGTGAGGAGACTGAGGGCTGCGAGTTGCCCATCCCATCATCGCAGACAGCAAGCGGGAGCTGGCAGTCGCTCTGGTCATGCTGGACCCCTTAAATCCCTACACTCCTACATTTTGCAGTAGAATACAAATAAACAACTCAAAGGGGGTAATTGAATAAATAAATAATAAAAAAGAAAATAAAAACAGATGAGCTCAAACTGATTTGCCGCCTTACATGATGTCAACAGAGGAACTGGTCAACACTGTGGAAGCTTGATTTTAGGAGGCAAGATTAAATACCGATTTAAAACTAAACAGAAAACTAATAGAAAACTGACCGTGATGTGTTGGCTCAATAAAAAGGGCGGCTAGCAGCTTTAAATTAAATAATATTTTTCTCTGTGGTGAAACAGATGAGATTTTAGAACTGCTTCCAACTGGGTTAATGACTGATGTTTACCATTGATTCGCTTCTTCTTCTCATTCAGGGCTATTGATTAATAATCTGAGTGACAAAGTTTTGTGAAGCTGATCTTGATGTAAAAGCACATGCACCGATCCATTATGTTTGGTTCTAGTCACTGTTACAGGTTGGCTTAGCTTCAGCAGGTTTAGCTGTTTGAACTGATGCTTTTTCTTCAGTGATTCACTTTTTCAAGGGAGCCTTAATAAATAATTTCTACCAGCTAACGTAAATTAGCCGGTAGAAATTCAACTGAGAATCTGTGGCAAGATTTGAAAACTGCTGTTCAGAGAGTCTCTGTCCGACTGAGGTTTGAACTATTTTTCTGTACGAACAACAAAATTTGAAAATCTTTTTTCAGATTTTCCTTAAAATAAAAACAAGGAATGAAAATCATTTACAAGAATCCCAAAATTATGCATAACACTAGCAGATTTAGGTTTAAAGTAACCTTTACATCTGGAAATAAATACTATGATTTTTTTTATTGGGCTATCTATGGAGTCCTTAATCTTTACTTATGTCAAATCTGTGTAAGAAGTTAAACATTAGGGTAATTGTAAAGAGTCTTTCCTACCTCTCAAACTGGTTGTGCCCCATTTATTTATTTTTGTTGAAAACAAAAGAAGCCATTTGTCCAGTGGCTTCCAGACTTCGGACTTGAGATGGGTGGACTTTCTGGTCTCCTCTGAAAGGCAGCTAAAAACAGATATATTTTTTATGCATTGTGAACTCTTTGGCTTTTGTACTACTGTGAAGCACAATCTGGGTTTTAAATTTGAAAGGTGCTTTATAAATAGAGTTCAAGGTGTCCTTGCATCCTTAAAAGTTTTTAAATGAATACATCTAAAATAAGGACCTAAATTCATTTAAAAAAAAATGCAAGGTGGTCATTAAATTCGCTAACCACAGGTCTTAAATTTTATTATGAAAGAACTAACCACGTCTATGTAGTTTATATATATATATATATATAATGGTAATTTCATGTCAGGCAAAAAAAAATTTGTCTTGCTCAGACTTTATGTGAGGCGTGTAAGTCTATTACCGGTAGCTAACCTTGCTAGCTATGGGTTTGCAATGGGGTAGCGATAAACGACAATGACGAACTAAAGTCATCACCACTCGGGTGAAACCAAACACATAGCGACAAAAGGTTGAAGGCCACAAACAGACTCCAGAAATTTCATAGTTTTTGTCTACAATTATGAATAATTCTGCTGTAATTAAGCAATTAACCACACCCTTTTTAAAAAAAATATATATATACTTTTTCCTCCACTTACTTTGGCCTTAGAAAAGCCCCGTCACATTCCCTATCAGACGCCAACTTCCAGGTCTTATAACTGCTCGATGCATTAAGCTGGACGCATTAAGTCAGCTGTGTAGGATTTGGCGTTCCTCCTCACCGGGTCAGTCGGCGGCATCAGCGAGCAGCTTTGATCTTAGGAACGCGGGCAGCAGCCTGACAGCAGAGCGCGAGGACAGCCGGGGCGAACCGAACAGGAAGGAAGGAGAATCTGGAGCGGACACGCCGCTCTCCAAATGAAGGACATTACCCAGTGACCCAGCTGCGACGTCAATGAAAAGTAAGCGCAGAAGTATTTCAAAATTAGCCATATTTATTAGGAATGCACATAAAGTTGATGGCAGCAAAATATAAGACGTGATACCGACTTGAAAAACCTTCAGCATGTGGGTTTTCTTCAGGCGAAATGAAGAGC